TTTTGACCTGAATAGGTCTGTGAACTCTGGCTTTCCCCCTGTGAACTTTGTAAGTGACTTAGGCAAGTGATTTGGCCTCATCAAGCCTCAGTTTTCTCATTTGTAAATTGAGGATGTTCTCAACTGAACTCCTAGGACTATTGTGAGGATGAAATGGAAGAGTACACAGAAGGGATTTGTCCTGGTATCTGGCATAGAGAAAGTATGTGTCCTAAATATTAGCTACTTAATATTAGTGTTTTTAGGGGTGCCTGGGAGGCTCAGTGGTTGAGTGTTTGCCTTTGGCTTAGGGCATGATCCTGGAGTTCTGGGATCGAGTCCTGCATCAGGCTCCCCTGCTTCCTCTGCCTATGTCTCTACTCTCTCTGTGTCTCTCCTGGATAAATAAATAAAATCTTTTTTTTTTTTTTTTAAGATTTTATTTATTTATCCAGGAGAGACACACAGAGAAAGAGAGAGAGAGAGAGGCAGAGACATAGGCAGAGGGAGAAGCGGGCTCCATGCAGGGAGCCCGATGAGGGACTTGATCTCAGGTCTTCAGGATCACACCACCTGTGCTGCCCAAAGAATTAGTCTTTAAAAATTTTTTTTAAGTAGCTCCATGCCCAGTATAGAGCCCAGTGTGGGGCTTGAACTGACAACAGTGAGATCAAGATCTGAGCTTAGGGCAGCCCGGATGGTTCAGCCGTTTAGCGCAGCCTTCAGCTCAGGGCGTGGTCCTGGAGACCCAGGATCGAGTCCCATGTCGGGCTCCCTGCATGGAGCCTGCTTCTCCCTCTGCCTGTGTCTCTGCCCCATCCCCCCTCAAGTAAATAAAATCTTAAAAAAAAAAAAAAAAAAAAAGACATGATCTGAGATCAAGAGTTGGACACTTAATCGACTGAGCCAGCCAGGCACCCCTGCTTCATATTAGTCTTTACAACTTGGTTTTACACATTTGAAACAGGCTTAAAATCCACAGATAGTAAGTGTAAGTGGGGTATAAACTCAAGCCTAGGCTTCTCCTGAGGCAGTGGATTTACCTACTGTGCTGGACCCCTTCTCAGAAGTGTTGGTAAGTGACTACTACCCTTTGGTGTTCTATGATTGTTCCTTCAAGTACCCAAGGGAATGGGCCAGCCTAGCCCTTCTCTCAGGCTCTGAACAGAGTAAAATGTCCTTGGTGGTTTTAGACACCAGCTGTGAAGATCTAAATATGTGGAAGGGAAAGAAGGAAGGAGGATAGAGAATGGAATAAAAGGAGAGAATTAAAAAATTACCTCCATGAAATCTCTAGTGTGTTTCTTACCCTGGGTGACATCATTAGCACACTTATAAAACAACTGCTGCAAAAGTTCCTTCTTTATCTTGCATGGTACCTGATAGCCTCCTGATTTAAGGGTGGTTTTGTTTGTTTCCCTTAGAATATCTTTAGTGTCTTATATGTTGTGGCTTTCCACATACAAGATAAAGTCCAGTTCCTTAATGGCATATAAATCCTTTCATAATCTGGCCCCTTTTACCCTTGTTTTGTTTGCTACAACTCCCCTGCACGTATTTTGTGCTTCAGCTGTATTAGAAATTACTTGTTGGGGCACTGGGTGGCTCAGTTGATTAAGCAACCACCTCTTGATTTCAGCTCAGGTCATAATCTCAGGGTTGTGATATCAAGCCTCATGTCAGGCTCCACATCAGGGGAGTCTGCCTGGGATTCTTTCTTTCCCTCTCCGACCCTGCCCCCCTCAAATTAATTTGTGAAAAAAATTACTTGTTTTTCAGTGCCATCTTCTGCTTTCAGTGTCCCAGCCTTTGTAGAGAACTCTGTGCACATCCTTCTCTGCAAAGGCTGTATGTAGCCTTCTGGATGTAGTCATATTGTAGCAATTACCACACTTTGTTGTGATTGTGCCATATTTGTACATTGACATTGTCAAATGCACTTGATGTTTCCCTGTAATTTTTTGATGCAGAGGGGAATTTTAAAGTTGGTATAAATTTATTTGTATGTTATATTCTTTTATATGTAGAGCTTATCTGAAAGAATATATAGGAAATGGGTAATAGCAGTTGCCTTTGGGGCAAAGACCTAGGTGTCTCCAAAGTCTATCACCTTTTGTACCTTTTTTTTTTTTTTTTAAGATTTTATTTATTCATTTGACAGCACAAGCAAGGGGAACAGCAGAGGGAGAGGGAGAAGCAGGCTCTCTGCTGAGCAGGGAGCCCAATGCAGGGCTCAATCCCAGGACCCTAGGATCATGACCCGAGCCGAAGGCAGATGCTTCACCCACTGAGCCACCCAGGCTCCCCTCCCTTTTGTACCTTTTATTTATTTTATTTTTATTTTTTTTCCTTTTGTACCTTTTAAACCCTGAACCACATACATGTGTTTATTTACAAGAATGTCTTATGTATGGAAAGTTGATATCATCAGCTTTATTTAGCTTGTGCACTAATTGGTATTAATAGTCCTGTATTAGTTAGGGTTCTTCAGAGAAAAAGAACCAGTAGGAGATATATAGAGATCTACTGGCTCACAATTATGGAGGCCTCATTTCATGCTCTGCCCCCCTGCAAGCTAGAGACACAGGAAAGCTGGTGGTGTAATTCTAGTCTAGGTCCAAAGCCCTGAGGACATGGAAGCCAGTGGTGCCCCTAGGTAAGAGAAGACTCATGTCCCAACTCAATCAGGACTGCAGAACAAACACTCCCTTCCTCTACTTTTTATCTTTGGTTCTGTTAATGGATGGGATAATGCTCACCCACATTGGGGAGGGCAGTGCACGGGGCTGAGTCCACCGATGCACATATTATTAGACTCATCTGGAAACACCCTCACAGACACACTCAGAAATAATGTTTCATCTGGGCACCCTGTGGCCCAGTCAAGTTGCACATAAGATTTACCATTATAAGCTCTGCACAGAGAAGGTGTGTTAGGTCAGATATTGGTTTTGATATAGATTTTTTCCTGTTAGGTTCACTCACACACCTAGATTTGTTACAGCTGGTGTGGTGTGTGGCCCAAAGGAGTGAATAATAATAGCTAACACCTCTTCAGAATATATTATGTGCGAGGTACTGTTCTAAACACTTTTGAGTGTTAATTCGTGTCCTTGCAGCCTCTTGTGGCAAGTGCTGTTATTACTCTCATTTTACATACCAGGAAATGAGGGTCATGAAGGGTAGCTTGCCCTGTTGTGATGAGCACTGAGTGTTAGATTAAGGGATGAATCACTAAATTCTCCTGAAACTAGTACTACACTATATGTTAACTAACTTGAATTTAAATAAAAACTTGGAAGGTGAAAAAAAAAAAGGCGACCTCCTTATACAAGAAACATGGTAGTGTTGAGATCCCAAACTGGGCACTTTGATTCCATACTGGCTCTTAATCATATTCTTCCACTCAGATAAAAATTAGGATGGAGTTCTTTATCCCTATGATGTTATAATTTGTTATATTTGCTGTAACAGTTGCTGAATGTGTAACTTCATTGTTCTGTTTTTATCAGATGTCATCTGCTTGATACCTATAAAAATGCACATTTTAAAATGCAGTTCAAAGAAGTATAAGTACTGAAAAAAAAAAACCCAAAAGTATAAATACTTTTTTCTTCATATATTTTTACTGTTCAGCAGGGATTTACCATGACCATTTGGGTATAGAATGGCAGATGATTTTGCAGTCTCAGGCTTGAGGTGAGATTAGGGTATTTTAAGGGCCCATCTGCTCAAGGCTCTGAATGACTCAGGTTTCTATCAGATTAGGAGTTTACCCATTTTTAAGCCAGAGGTTTGTCTCAATTTGGTGGAATAAGCCATATGTGACATAAAGGTTAAACCAAGACTTTGAAAGCCTTTTCTAATTCTGAGATTGTGACTCTGTGTTGGGTTAAAATATTGCTTTCAGTTACAGAAGAGTACTTTTAAGGTCATATATAGCTTTAACTTTCTTTTAGAAATATAACTAAAACTATTTCTATAGTTCTATTTAACTTATAACAGTTCACTTACCCACTTGTCCAGATTACTTATAATGTGTGTTTCTTTAAAAGGATTTAGCCTGTATAATTTTAGAATAGAGAACCTTATGAAATAGTTTCCCCTTAGAATGCTACCAATTTATATGTGGGAGGGAAGACCTACAGAGATTGATTTGCTTCAACTCAGGTATGATTAGTGGGAAAGCTGGGCTTGGAATTGAGGTTTCTAGCTCCCCACAGAATGGAACTACTCTATTATGAGGCCTCAGCTGCTTCAAAATGTGGTTATTCAAACTTAACAGTGTATTCAAATAGCATAACCTGCGTGGTCTGGGAATCTTTAGATATAAGCATATTTAATTTTTATTCTGAGTTACTGAAAGTATCATTTAATGCCCAACAGAGATGGCATAAAAATTGTATCAGACTTTCCTTCGATAATCAACTCATGACATTTAGAATTTCCCTGAATTTAGAATATAAATTATTGAGTAAGTGGCCAAGGAATTCTGTCTAAAGTATTTTAGCATTTGGAAATATCATTTGAAGTTTATCTTTGGGAAAGAGAATTTATAAATCAAATTTATAAATTTAGTCCACTTATAATTTACTAAACTTAATTAGTGATGCTTTAACAGAGTAAATTTTTTTTTTTATTTATGATAGTCACAGAGAGAGAGAGAGAGAGAGAGAGAGAGAGAGGGAGAGAGGCAGAGACACAGGCAGAGGGAGAAGCAGGCTCCATGTACCGGGAGCCCGACGTGGGATTCGATCCTGGGTCTCCAGGATCGCGCCCTGGGCCAAAGGCAGGCGCTAAACCGCTGCGCCACCCAGGGATCCCTTAACAGAGTCATTATAGGGATCCTACCAGATGAGTTTAGTAGCAACCTGGTTGTGGATGAACATATGTATGATGTTTAATACTACTGTAAGAAGAAATGTTTTTTTAAGGATCATGTCCAGTGTTGTGGGAAAACTTGTTTTCTGGTTCCAAAGTGAGAGTAACAATTTCTTATATGTGTTTTTTTCTCTCTTTAGACTTTTGATAAAATTCTTATTGCTAATAGAGGAGAAATTGCATGTAGGGTAAGTAGATTTTAATCTTCCATTTTACTTTGTGAAGTTTATTATTAGGAAATCCCTTTAAATCCGAATCTCTGTTAATAGATAACATTTATATATTTTAAAATAGGTTATTAAAACTTGTAAGAAGATGGGCATTAAGACGGTCGCCATCCACAGTGATGTTGATGCTAGTTCTGTAAGTATATTTTTGCTTTATTTGGATCAGGACTTATTTGGAGTAAAAAAAAAAAAAGTAAAAATGTGGGTGTCCCCTCCCCCACCCAATTGTGTGGGTGTGCACAATTACAAAAAAATCTAATCATTCACTTGTATATTAAGCAAAATGGAAGTATCATAATGTCTTTATATGTGTCTTTTTTCTTCCCCCAGAGGTTTTAAAAACCTAGAGTTTAAAAATTGCTGGACTGATTGCTGACCACCAAGTAGATTTGAGCAAAGCTGGAGGAAGTTTGATTCAAAGATCAATGAAATGTTTATATACTATGCTGCCATATGAGAGCACATTTTCCCACAGATAAATTCTAATATTACTAAAGGAATGCTATAATTGTTTAAACTTCCTAAATGCTTTGTCGTGTTCAGTGGATAGTTTGATAAATGAAACATAGGCAAATAATAACTGGACATGAACACAAGGAATAGTATAAAGCAATGAGTGATACATAGTTTTATTTTTTATTTTTTTAAATTTTTTATTTATTTATGATAGTCACAGAGAGAGAGAGAGAGGCAGAGACATAGGCAGAGGGAGTGGGAGAAGCAGGCTCCATGCACCGGGAGCCCGATGTGGGATTCGATCCCGGGTCTCCAGGATCGCGCCCTGGGCCAAAGGCAGGCGCCAAACCGCTGCGCCACCCAGGGATCCCCTGATATATAGTTTTATTGGGGATTTTTACCACAGCAGGCATTTTTAGCAGTAATAAACTATGAAAGAATAGAGAAAAATCCCATGAGAAAAGAATGTAAATTATTGGAACTTTAGGGGAGGAAATTAGTAGCTGTACTTTAATGTAAGTTACTGTTTTTCATTCTTGCTTTTGGTAACAACCTATTGGTAATGGCAACTTTTATTGTATAGTAATATACAGAAGATTTCCAATATTTGTGATTACTTGTTTTATCTAGAACTGTTGTTCATTTAGCTTTATTGTGACTTTCTTTTTTTTAAAAAAAAGAACTGTTGCAAGCTACTCTAATTTCCTGAAAATAAAGGTTAAGTATTTATCTTGTTTATTTGATGGATATATTTAAAATCATTATCTTTTACTTAAAAGCAATTAAATCAAGCAATTAAATTTATTTTATGTCTGTAGTTTTTTCTTTCTTTTTTTTTTTTTATATTTGTTTCTCGCCTTTTTACTAATAATTTGTTTTAACTGACAGCTTCAATAGTAGTTTATATTCCTTACAAGATACTCATGAAGGGCAATGCCGGTGGCTAAGCGGTTTGGCGCTGCCTTCAGCCCAGGGTGTGATCCTGGAGACCTGGGATCAAGTCCCACATCAGGCTCCCTGCATGGAGCCTGCTTCTCCCTCTGCCTGTGTCTCTGCCTCTCTCTCTCTCTGTCTCTCATGAATAAATAAATAAAATCTTAAAAAAAACAAAAGATACTCCTGAAATAATGAGAAAACTATTTAATCTCTTTCTTGTTTGGTAAACTAAGGCATTTATCAACACCAAACTCCTTTACAGAAAAGTTTGTGTTGCATCAGACTAATAATAGATTTAAAATTCTTTCTTTGGATGCCTGGCTGGCTCAGTCAGTGGAGTGTGCAACTCTTGATTTTGGGGCTGTGAGTTTGAGTCCCACGTTGGGTGGAAAGATTACTTAAAAAAAGAAAAAATCTTAAGCCCCTCTTTATTTTTATTTTTTAAGCCCCTCTTTTTGTCGTATTGTGTTTTCATTGTGTTAGCTCACGAAGTGTTTTCATTCATGGGTAAATTGAGAGAAAAAAAGATTTGAATTGTGGACAATTGCTGTTTTTAGATCAAGTCTGATAATAACCTTTCACTTATTTTTCTTATATCAAAATAGTTAATTCTCTATTCTGTGTTCTCATGAAGATGACTGTTGGCGTGGATAGTCCAGAATTATTTATATTTTGTTTTTTTTTTCACATTTATATTTCAGTGTTGGTATTCTAAGTCCCAATAGCATGACTGTCTCTTCCCATTCTTAAGTTTGAAGCTTTGTGTTCTTGTTAGGTAGAAGCTAGACATGGCCAGTGGATGGAGTGCTCTGAGGCAGAGTCCCAGATTCTTCAAGAGGAATGATAGAGACAGGAGCTGCTGGAGGCAAGGATGGGGATAAATGAGCTACACATTAAAAGTCCAAGAGTGGGATGTCTGGGTGGCTCAGTGATTGAGTATCTGCCTTTGGCTCCGGGTGTGATCCTGGGGCCCTGGAGTTGAGTTGCACATCGGGCTCCTTGCAGGGGGTCTGCTTCTCCCTCTGCCTATATCTCTGCCTCTCTCGATGTTTCTCATAAATAAATAAATAAAATCTTAAAAAAAAAGTCCAGGAGCACAACATCCTGACCTTGTGGCTTCCCCAAGACCTTGGGACTGACAGACCAAAGAGCCTCAGGTGGAGAACATGTGTTCTCCTCTTCCATTTCTGCTCCACGGTAACCCCATTATAACCTCATAATAATATATTTGCATTGTGGGTAGAGTGGCCCCTGCCCCCCAATGGAGAAAGGCTGCCTTGTTATATCAGGTACAAACCTTGTAGGGTCAAAAACTCCCTTCTCCCAACCGTCCCCCACCCATTAGAGACCATCCCACTGTCCATCACAGCTCCTCCCAGCCCAGAGAGACCCAATAATATCCAACCCAAAACAACCTAGAGGCCGCTGGACCTCTGGGAGCCTGCCTGCTCTCCCACCTTGAGAGTGTACTTGCTGTTTAATAAACCAATTTGTGCTTGCTACTTTCTGTCTCTGTTTGAATGCAGATTCTCAGATGCAGTTGTTCACATAAATCTTTCTTGTGGGGAATCCAAGTACCGATGCATTCTCAGATGCAGGTGTTCACATAAATCTTTCTCTTGGGGGAATCCAGGTACCTCTATTCACAGAACACAGATTCTCACCCATAACATTCAGATCTATAGGTGGACTGTTACTTTCCAGGCTTGGAAAAAGCTAGTTTTAAAAAGAGTTGGTCTAAGTTTTATTTTTTTTTTTAATTATTTTATTTTTATTTTTATTTATTTATTTATTTTGGTCTAAGTTTTAAGATGGTCATTCATATCTTTCTAAAGCAGGGATGGTTTAGTTTTATATTTTAAAGACTTCTAGTTACTTTTTTGGCGGCAATGGAGAAAAGTCTACAAGATACTAGAGTACGTAATTTAGATTAAGGTTTCCCAGGTCCCACAATTGAAGCAATGCATGCTCAGAACTTCCTCTAAGTATGACCTGCTTTAAGTCTTTTACTAGAAAGGTACAGTTTTGGATGATAATGATAGTTGGAATATCCAAAGTTTAATTTAGGCCTCAGCAGTAGAGCCAAATCTGTTATTTGCTGTCTGTGTCAGCCTCGAGAAAGGGTGAATTCCTCTAACAGTTTATTTTGCTTCCTTAATATGTGATCAGAAAGATTATTATTTTATTTATTTATTTATTTATTTATTTATTTATTTATTTATTATCATATTTAATCAGCTTTTCGATATGAATAATATGAACCAGATGTGCTATTCAGATGTCTTGTTAATGTCGTAGTGTTTATTTTCAGGAGGCAAGCATCTATAATGTAACTTGTAGGGAAATCTTTTGTGCTTCATAGGTTAATTTCATAAATGGAAATGTAAATACTGCAGTAGGAAATTACTGTAACAGTTGATTGTTTTTAAATGGCAGGTTAATAATTTTCACAACTAATTTTTTTAACAGTTAAGCAGGGGAAAAAGGCTAACAGTTACTCCAACTATTAAGTGATAAGTCTCACAAATCTAACTACCTTGCAAACGATTAATGTGTAATGGAAAGAAATTGGCTTTTGAAGATAATTATGCTGTTTTTTCACTGGTACCCTTTCGGCCCTGTCCTGTTCTTCAGTATTGTTTTCAGTATTCCTTTTTTGCTCTTCTGTGTTAATCTTGGGATAATCTTATCAAATAATTAGACACATCCACTCACGAGTTTTTAGCTATTGTGAACAAGACTTCTTTAAACAATCTAGTACAAGTCTTTGTGTAAACATATACTTTCATTTCTCTTGGATAAATACCTAGGAGTGGAATTGCTAGGTCATAGAGTAGATGAGAGGCAAAGCAGCCTTTTCCTGTTTGGATAGTAAATCTGTTTGTCTAGAGAGTAAATATATTTTAGACTTTGCAGGTCTCCTTTGTATGATCTCCTTTGTATGTTCTTTTTTTTTTTTTTTAAATGACCTTCCCCCTTTTTTTAAAAAAAGGATTTTATTTATTTGAGAGAGAGATAGCAAGAGGGACAAGTGGAGTACAGGGGCCCAGGGAGAAGGAGAAGCAGACTCCCTGCAGAGTTGGGAGTCCTTTGCAGGGCTCCATTCCATGACCCTGACCCTGGAATCATGACCTGAGCGGAAGGCAGATTCTTAACTCACTGAGCCACCAAGGTGCCCCTTTTATGACCATTTAGAAATGTAAAAACTGTGGGCTATAAAAAAACTGTCCTTAGATTGGATTTGGCCTGTAGGTGGGTGGTATTTTGCTGATTCCTGGCACAAATAGATGCATGTTTAACTATAAGAAGCTATCAAACAGTTTCCCTTCATGGTCATGCTGTATTATGTTCACACCAATAACATGTAACTGTTCATTTTGCTCCATGTCCTTGCTATACTTGGTCTTATCAGTCCTTTTGATTTTTACTATTCTATTGGTCATTATGTGTTATCTCATTGTAGTTTAAATTGTCTGATGAATATTGATGTTGAGTACCTTTTCATATTAATGGACATTTATATTCCTGTGTTTGTTCAAATATATAATTAGGAGAGCAATACAGTGATACTTGTGTACCCTTTGCCTGGATTCACCAGTTAACATTTTGATACATTTCCTAATATCTGTATCTCTCTCTCTCTCTCTCTCTCTCTCTATATATATATATATATATATATATATATATATATATATATATAAATAACTATTACGTTTCTTATTTTTTCTTTGCTTTTAATTTTGC